CTCGGGCGTGGCGTGGCCGAGCGCGGTGATCCCGGCGCGCGTCAAGAAGCTCAGCTGGGACGACGCGCAGGTAACAACACTACAGAATTACATCGTCCTAAACAACCACATTATTTTGAACTGAAATGTAATTTTAAAATATAATTGTCAGGGTGAGCCAGAAAAGGAAGTGAACGAAGCGACAAACTCTGCTGTGACTGAGCACATGAACCTCACCGTGTACTTCTGAGCGACTCACTGCAGACTGTCGCCGCTCGGAGTGAGCTGCCAGCTGCAGACGTATTACTGCGAACTGCGCAACAGACTGCGTTGCAAACTGCGCTGCAGACTGCGCAGTGTGAGTTATTAAAACGTGGAACATCCCTACATAAGTTTAAGAAACGATTGGACTTCAGATGTGCTATTGTAATTATATGTACAAACAGAATTGATAATAGTGTAAGTGGAAAGTCTTGCCAATTTTACTGTTTTTTAAATCTACTATCGTTGTAATATAGAAAACGACATAAATGTGTATTGTCAGATAAAGAATTAAATCTTAGAATCCGTTGATATAAATGGTTTACATAAAATTATTTTGAATTATTTGTTTATATAGATACTATAAATGTAACCAAATATTAAACGAAACTATACCAAATGCGTTTGTCGGAGGTTGTTAATTGTTTATACAAGAATTATTATACTTATTTGTAATAATATATTGTAAGTACGTAACTTGACGATGTAAATACATACAATAAAATATTATAAAAAACTTGTTAGCTTAACTATTCTGTAGTTTTTTGTATTACAGTAATTCAAAATTCTTAAATTAATTTTTTTTAAATTATGTACTTTACAAATTTGGTTTAATAAAACTTGAAATTTCTATTCTAAATAGAGAATAATCTTTAAAAAATGTAACCGTCTGTAATTATTATTACTCCTTTCATATGTTGTTAGAATTATTTAAATTGTTATAAATTTCGTTACTTGATTGTGTTGTATTATTTCACCACATTTTTAATTGCCATATTTTTCAAGACACACGCCTCCCATCATTTGAAACTCACACAGAATATTCTGATTAAAAAAACTTGCAATCATCATTTTCACAGGCGTTTTAAAGATTAATCGTGCTTTCTGTGTCGTTCAAATTCAAATTAATTAACTTAGAACTTCACTAACATCAATACATGATAAATTACTTGAAAAGGATACTTAATATAATGAGGCAACTTAATTCTACAACCACATTCACTTATTTGCATAACATCCTGGTATAATATGCATGTTTATGTTTTAAACGTTTTATAGCATATTTATGTTTGTTTACAATTTAATGTAAAATTGGTTTATAACGACGGTGACAATATTTCTTTATTGCTTCAGTACATTCCTACATACTCAACAAATACTAATTTAAAAATCATAAACCCGGATTAACTTGAATATTGTTATATATTTCTTTTAATTATATCTGGTAGTAAATCCAGATTAATGCCAGAAAGAAGAACGTTGATAAAACTAATTAGTTGCATTTGTTCTCTAGATAGAGTCTAGGATAGTTATTCTACAAAACAACAAAACAACATATAATGAACAGACTGAATACGAACATGAAACTCTATGTTCTAAATTCCTTATCGTTAAAGTCGTAATCATTGTCATAAACAAAAAAGTCTCGTCAGCAGAGTGCGCGTGGGCAATGTTGTTTACATGCAAAAGTCCGGAGAAACGCTCTCTCCTCAGAGCCGACCTTGCACGAAAGTCGTTCTTACGTAATGCACTCTCACGCCGCACGACGACTGGGAAACCAGTGTACTAAACTATGAGTAGTATGTATAGGGAGGGCCTCATAGGGCAGAGAAACAGTAGCATCTAATAAAGAATCAATGAGATAGTAAATTAAGTAAATTAAAGCATTTTAACAGCTTTAAAATAAAAGCTGTGAAATGTAAACCTTATAGCACTTAAACAAGACATGCTGAACAATATTTACTTGAGATAAAACATTCTCCTCGTAGCAGATTGTCAGCACGACAGAACACTGATTGACTTTCAGTTCAGCCGTAATCAGTATCAGTTAGTCAGTCGCCAGTCGTCGTGAGAGACGCTTGTGCTGCGTTTTCTCACGGAAAAAGTGATTTACGAAGTTTACGCGCTCTTAGTCTCTAGGAATTTATTACAAGTGAGTGTTTGTGACTTTCTTATTATATTTCTGTATTAATTAGTGTACATTCTTCATCGATTCAAACGTATTCAAAATAAATTACGATTTTTTCGACGATTTTTGTTATTGCTATTGGATCTTTTAAATCGTATGAACGTGCCCTTAGTTTCTAAATTATCATTACAGGTATTTTAAAGTGTATAGAATTGATTTAAATAACTTTTTTAATATATCTCAAGACTCTCTAATCGTACTCAAAGACTTAAGTCACGTCTCATATAAATCTGTGTTCCCTCTATAAGACAGTTTTGAATTGAAAAGAAATTAAAAAACTGAGTAGAGAAAATCATTATGGTACCGAAAATTATTATGAATTGTTCTAGAAGCAATATTATCATGACGTCATGAATAACAAATTGGTATATTTAGATTAGTATCGGAGCAAAATCAGATTTTGTGAATAAACAATACATCATGACATTCGCGAAATTTCAATAATTCTTTCATTAGTTTATTTCTCTTTCTCATTTTATCTGATTATAATACGTTATCGGTACAGTCGTACTTCTTGGTGTTTGTGTAATCTTCGACGATAGCACTTATAGTGAAATCTCAGCAATTCACGAGACCAAAATATATTCATTGAGAGTTTGTTGGAAGTCAAATTAATCTGCAAGAAGAGTACCTACTATTAAATCCCCGCCTTTACTTATTTTAATATTTTTGAAAAACTAGCTTTCATCCGTAATTCTGTCCGCGTGTAATTAAAAAAAAAAGTAAGTAGCTTATATATTATTCCAGAGTATACTCTACATCTGCGCCAAATTTTATCGAGACCCGTTCAGCCAAGCTACAAAATCTAACAAACATCAATCGATTTCAAATTCCCTATTTATAATATTAACTAGTAAGATAGTAAAATTACCAATTTACATAGATTTAAAATTTTATTCTTTCGATAATGCGTATTATTTTATGTGTATATGAAAAATTGAACAGAGTTTTTTCTTCTTATGTCAATATTAGGTCAGTATAGATTTGCAAAAGATACCAAAAGAGATGGCAATCGCGGAAGTCATTCAACTGGATATTATAAATATCGAGTGTTCTGTAGGGTTTGCGCTTATCACGACGTGTGTACATCTTCCTAGATGATATCAAGATGTTTCAACATTTTTACGACAAACAACAAAATCTTGTCAATTCTAAGACTTATCTAAATCTTGGTGTGATCGCTGTAATGTCGAAGACATCTTTTGACGTAGGTACTTATGCAAGTTATCTATAATGTTTTTACAACTAACATAAATACTTCTTATAGCTACCAGTTTTATACAACCCCAAGCATAACGCAGAAATATTTATACCAGAGTCAAAGTATTATTTTAATATGATTACAGTTAAGCTTATACGATTCCTGAATTTAAAAAAAAACCTATTCATTTTCTATAGTTAAAACTTACAGCAATAAATGTGTTCAGAACAAAGAAGTTTGAAATATACTCGTAGCAAATGCCTAACCTACAGCCAGGCAGATTGTAGATTTATTGTCCTTTTTAATTTGGCTGATAACATTGATATCTGTCTGCAGAACTAAAAACAATATGAAAGTAACATACTCGTATATGTTACTTATTATTGGTACATATTCGGATAAGTTATCTACAAGCAAAAACAATACTTCTAAGTGGTTTATCTTAAACCAATTTAGAGATATAGATTATATCTTTTGTTCAAACATTTTCTACGTTTCAATATAAATTATAACACGGTTATAATAATCGTAATCTGATAAAGCTGAAATAATGATCTTAACAATGGTAAATATAGCCTAAACAATGCAAATATTGTTTTTGTATAAACTTATATCTAGTTCCACATTGAAAAACGTGAATTAGTCCAATATGTAACTGCTCTCATTCATTTGTTTAAAATTACCATTTTATGCGGGCTATTTTCGTCGCCTTTTCAACTTTTCAACAGCTTATTGATAGATTGCAAATCATACGAAACCCTTTAGTTATATTCTTGTTATGTACAATGTGAGTAATATCTTGTAGGAAAATCCTCAAACTTCTGCAATTATTAAACGGATATAGCAAAGTGTGCCGCGCGCTTTCTCCTTACGTAAGGAGCGCGTCACACGTCGCAATGCCACCTCTGTTGATGCACGGACGTGTTGTAAACAAAACTGGCGTGCAGATATTAGTCATTAAAGAAGGATATGTCATTACTGTCTTCATCAACAAATCTACGAGTACAATGTCTACATCACAGTGCCACAATAAAATAAATGGGAGTTTTATGATAGAAATGTAATAGGTTCTTAGATTATTGTGTCGTCTATGTAAATTCAACTACAGCTAATTATTAGCTATTTCTGATGACTGCACAATATTAAATTTGCTCTCTAGCATCACTTCAAGATTTGCCTAAATTCGTATCATATTGTTGTTTAGATATAAAACTTTAATGTTTGACTCTTTAACATGTTTAGCGTCGTTTGATTGTTGAGTAATGAATCGTTATGTGTCTAGTGTTGCTATCGCTGTCGTGGTTGTTACCTCATCGGCATCGGTCGGAACTGAGCCGGCGTTACGTTCACGGTCACGCTTCAATATTTTGTTACCGCATTATTACTTGTGATCAATGTTATCCGCATTTACTGTGTACATACAGTAAGTGCTTTGGCCTAGATCCAATATGCAAAGGTAAAAGCGTGCGGTGTGAAAGCATCGAAAGTTAGTGGAACCAAGCCTTAAGGTGTTTGCGATTCACGCGAAAGCGATGCGTTAGATATATTAACATTAAAAATGAGTTAAACTTCTTAGTGATGGTAAGAGTGCGTTCTAAACCAGAACGTTCGATTTTGTCCATACAGATGGCGGTATCAGTAGCTGCGTGCCTGTGGCTGGCGCTGGCGTGCGCGGCCTGCGTGCGCGCGGACAACTCGACGTTGGACACATGCGAGTTGGACGCGGGGACGCCGGGGCCCTGGTCCGCGCTGCTCGAGGAGTGGACCCTCACCGCGCCCCCCTACAACGACAGGCATGGTAATGACATTGACACTTGTACCATTACATAAAAACAAAAGTTGTAATCATTATTCTGTTAGCTTCTGAACATTCGTCGTTGTAATTTACTTAGCAATAAAATGTATAAATCAAATATCTTTAGGTCGCATCATGGCGCTACCACCGACAAAAGGCTACTATGTATCTGAGCGTATCGACGGACCCCTGATGCCCCCACCGCCGCCTCCCCCGCCGCACGGCCCGCCCGATGAACACAAGCCTCCGGGACATCACGGACCGCCAGGTTCACCAGGACCCCACGGGGGCCCGCCCCCGGGCCCACCGAGACCACACGGTCTTCACAGTGTTTACGACGACTTGCCCCCCGACACCTACCCGCCTCGTGCGCCGGGAGGAGGCATGCCCCCGCCACCCCCCGGCCCGCTGAGACCGCCCCCCGATTACAACGAATGGGAACCCAACGCGGCGGGTGGAAAGATCGTCAACCGGCCGAATCCATACGACAGCTTCAGGCCCAGCTACGTAAGTACAAGAAGTTAAATGAATTGATAACTTGGCTACTGCAGAAGAATGAATAATTAACACATTTTAAATCAAAAGTGTAATCCTGATTACCCAATCTTGATCAATATTCGTGTAATGTGTGCAGGCGGTGCCGCCGCAGAACTACCGTCCGCAGCGGCCGGCGGCGGACCGTGTGGACGCGCCGCCGCGCAAGCAGGTCTCCGAGACCGACCTCTACCTGCTGGGAGCCATCGAGAAGCTGGTCTATCGCGTCGACCTCATGGAGAAGCGTCTGCGCAGAATGGAGGAGAATGTGCACTATTTGGTCGCCGGAGTCGATGCCAAGCCAGGTACGTCTTTTACTCTTCGCCCTACACAAATCACATTTCTACAGTGTAGCATGTGTTACAGTGCCGTGTTCCTATTACAGAGCCATGCGCGGCTAACTTCACGCGTGTGGGCGGCGCCTGCTATCACTGGTCTGCGCAGGCGCTGGACTGGAAGGGTGCCAACCTGGCGTGCCGCAAACTGCGCGGCGCGCTACTCGAGCTCCCCGACCCTGTCACCAAGCGCCAGCTGCTCGCCGCCGTGCTCGCAGACAAACATCTCAGAGGTAAAAACTGGAGATCCTTAAGTGAAAAATATTTTTGAGTTCATAAATAATATTTGGCAATATTTTAGGTGACGATTTATGGACTGGCAGCAGGAACCCGGGGCTGCTGTGGATCTGGTCACACTCGGCGCGGCCGGTGGAGGGCAACAGCACCGGCGGCACCAACGGCACCAGCATCGCGGGCGAGGGGCGGTGCCTGGCACTGGCGCACGACCCCGCGGGCGGCACCTACCTGTACCGCGGCCGCGACTGCGCGCTGCGGCAGCGCTACGTCTGCCAGAAGGAGGAGGACAAGGAGAAGCTCAGCAACGACATCCAGCGCGCCGCGCGAGTGCTCAAGTCAATGAACGATAAAAAGGATATAAAAATCTACTGGAATAACAATTAAGTCAAAAAGCGTCTGTGTCATATTTATAGTAAATTTGTAAACTTTTCACAGACGTGGAGAAATAAACTGAAATCCGCCTGCTTCATGTGTATTTAAATTAATAGAAATCTGATTTATACCTTTTATGATCAAATACTTCAGCAGCTATTCCACTACCACCGCAGTAAAGTTCTTCGGATCTAATCTGACGGATTCTTCAGAATTAGAAGGTGCGCACTGCTTTGACTAAACTATCGTACAACTGTTTACTCTTGCTTTGATTCCTATGAATTTATATGGAGGTGCGCACTCTATTACATTTTTACTTGTGCAATAAACATTTGAGTTAGCTGCGAAACAATCGACAATCGCACAACCAACGTGCGATTGTTTAGTCAAAGAGGTGCGCCCGCACTTAGAAGAGTTTAGAATTCATAGGATGTTAAGTTTATATTGAGTGTGTAAATTATTTAAAATTATAGTGACGATTAAATTCGTCAGGAAGTAGTTGTAAAACGTGTACACTAATAAAGACTGAAATTTGAAAATAAAATGAAACCAGTGTTTTGTAATAGCTTATAATTCTATAATATTTACAAAGTTAGATAAGAATCACAACAAAATAACTTATTCGAAATAAATATATTTATAGTTGTGTGCGAGGGGCGCGCGGCGCGCGGACGAGGACTCGCTTTCTATTTGAATTCGAAATTTTGTACAACTAAAATACGATAAATCGTAATTTGATTTTACTAAGTGTTGCATTGGGATGTAACATGCGAGCACTTGCCGCGGCACACAGATAGACCTCTACAAATTTTAACGGCTTTGAGTTGGCACGTGGGGTAAAAGAAATCTCTTCTTTTACAAGTGCCAACTTAAATACCTAGTATTTTTAGATTTATTTGTTAGAGTTCCATCTTATATAACTTAAGTAATGAACCCTTTAAGAACGAGGTCGAGGCGATTTTTTCATTTTAAGTTAAATTTGAGACGGATGTAAAAACCACATCGGCCGCATTCTATTCGCAAATATACAAATGTACAAACAGTCAGCTGCATAAAATGTATACATTTAAGATACAAAAAATTGTATACATTCGATTTCAAAAATATACGTGTGTCCACTTCCGACAACATACATAAGGACAAGTGTATACATATGGACAAGTGTATACATATGGACAAGTGTATACATATGGACAAGTGTATACATATGGACAAGTGTATACATTTGGACAAGTGTATACATATGGACAAGTGTATACATAAGGACAAGTGTATACATTTGGACAAGTGTACACATATGGACAAGTGTATACATATGGACAAGTATATACATATGGACAAGTGTATACATATGGACAAGTGTATACATTTGGACAAGTGAACACATATGGACAAGTGTATACATATTTTTGAAACCGAGGGATTTTACAAGTGTCAACTTTTTATATGTATAGATATTTCCAGCTGAGTGTAGCGCGTTGTGCGCTGAGACTAGGCAACACTGATCTATGGATTTTTATAATAAATAAATAATTTGCAACTGTATATCATTTTAGTCTTCGTTAGCATTTGTTGAAGCCAAATCAAACAAATTTAATTAATCACACAAACAAAACAAACAATATGGCAAAATGATTTGAAATTTCCTCAAACAATAATTCATATTTTAATGTCAGAAAAATATCAAAAAAACTATGAAATGCCATATCTTGTACACAAAATCATTTGAAATATGATCACTGACTAAAATATAATTTATCAAAGTATACAAAATTAATATTTCTGCGAACAAAAGTTAAAGAGCGAGTTTCGTGTATTTCCGAGTAAATGTGAACATAAGGCTATATTCTATTTACATAACATATGTAATTCCTTAACAAACAACAAAAATGTAGTTTGTACAAATGTTATTTTTAATTTTTCAAACCAATTTCAAAGATACAAAAAACTTATAAGTAAGTTTAAATATTACTTCAGTACATTTTCACGTGTTTAATTAATATTCTATAGTAATTTAGTAGTTTATTGCTTCAACAACCAATCCGGTACATATGTACTATACTCAGAGTTAAAATCGTCTTCCTATATATATTACAAATACAACAGTCGCGATGGTACATTTCTAAATTATATTAAACAAATTGTACGAGTAATAATTCCTATTTATATACAATATGCGTATTTTATGAAAGGCACGCGGCTCGCTGCTACCTGAACGTCTAATCATATTATATTAAATATTTTAAAACAAACTATTACATTAACAAATGATACAGATATGTCGAATATTAATCATTTTGAACTCTGAAAGAACTCATTTGAAATGGAATTTAATTTTTCAAAGAACTCATTTGAAATGGAATTTAAACATTGAAAGAACTCATTTGAACTGGAATTTAAATTTTGAAAGAATTCATTTGAAATGTAATTTAAACTTTGAAAGAACTCATTTGAAATGTAATTTAAACATTGAAAGAACTAATTTGAAACGGAATTTAAATTTTGAAAGAACTCATTTGAAATGTAATTTAAACATTGAAAGAACTAATTTGAAACGGAATTTAAATTTTGAAAGAACTCATTTGAAATGGAATTTAAACTTTGAAAGAACTCATTTGAAATGGAACTTGAACTCGAAAAGATCTCATTTGTGATTGATTTTAAAATGGTTGTAACTCAGACTCTCTCAGTGTATATGTAACTTTGAGGAACTCATTAGCAAAGAGATGGTGTGTTCAGTTGAAGTGGAACTTGAACTGGAAGGGGCTGCCGTGCTGGAAGTGGTGGAAGGGGCTGGCGTGCTGGAAGCCGTGCTGGCGCTGCGCCTCGGGGTCCAGCGGGTCCGTGCCCGCGTCGAACTGCGCGCGCTTCTCGGGGTCCGTCAGCACCTGCACACGGACATTCTCTACATTTATATCATACTTTCAGAAATATATGCGAGAATGTTATGGCCGATTTTTTTACTGCCATACTGACAAAGTCGATAGTAAAAATGTTTATATTTCAAAATAGAAGAGAGTAGTAAAATAACCCTCCTCTACTGTACAGGGAGGGAGAGGGAGAGAGAGAGACAGTATGTGTACCTCCTTGGCGGCGGCGACGTCGATGAACTTCTTTTCCGCGAGCTTCTTGTCGTCACCGTGGTAGTTGTCGGGGTGCCACTTCTGCGCCGCCTTGCGGTACGCCTTGATGATCTCCTGCTTGCTGGCAGACCTGCGCACACACACACACACACACACACTCTTGTTATCACTTATTTAAAGTTACGAGAAATTTTTTACATGAAAAAATACATTCTTAGTAGTATAGTTTAACTAAAAAATCTCGTCTTGCACTATAATATAGTGACAGCGTTATTTATTCATGAGCGCAATTCAAATAAGTGGAAAAATCGAGCTGTTTCCAGAATGATCACAGCGACATCTAATGACGAGTAACGAAATTGACATATAATTTTGAGTTGAAGCTAATATAAATGAAGGAACCTTTTAACGCCGAGTATCTTGTAGTAGTCTCTCTGTTCAGCCTGTTTCTGCAGTTTCTGCGCCCTGCTGAGGCCGTCCTTGGCGCGCTGCAGCCCCTCCTCCAGCTCCAGCGCTTGCTTGTACGACTGGATCGCTGTCATACACAAATTTACTATTGTAAATAATGCTCTTCTTAGAATAGCGAAGGTGGAACTAAGTATAATTTTAGAATGGGCAATTATCATTAAAATGCCTTTTTTATAGACACTTATTAACCCTTAACTCGATAATGTTCAGTGTGATAATTAACTAATTTAAATAATAATTCATATGTAAAAATATTACTACTAAAAAAAGGTTGTTTGTTACAAAAACTCCATCAAAATAGGGGTTAACGGTTTTATGGCTAGTGAATACATTCATTGAATAACTAAAAGTGTACATTTTTAGATTATTTTAGTAAAAAAAAAAATAGAGCAATATGTCAAAAACGTAATGATCAATGACGTCATATGTCAGTGTGAGGTGTGAGGTGTGAGGTGTGAGACACTGACCGTCGTCGTACATCTCGAGGCCGAGCAGCGCGTCCCCGCGGTCGCACAGCACGCGCGCGTCGCGCTGCAGCGCCAGCGCCGCGCCGCACGCCGCCACCGCCGCCGCGTGCTGCTCCTCCTGCACACACACACACACCACTTCACTGTCTGCTTCACTACCAATATATTTAATAATCCTTTATTTATATAAACAGTGGTAGTGCCCGCTTTAACATTTTAGCACTGCAGGGCCGGCACGCGCCCAGTAATATCACAATCACACAGAAAACAGCCGTGAAATGGAAGCAATTCCGTGCTTCGTCTGATGAGGTGCCGGAGGCCTAATTAAGGTCCCTTTCTCTTTACCACCCTTATCTTATAAGGTGAGGATGGGAAGGGAAAGCGGATTTGACGGTAGTAGAGGTGCATAGGAATGGGAAATGTACTCTTTATGTGCGTCTCCTCTGTCAGATAAGGGTAGGCTACGCATCTGGACACACTTTGAAGGCGAACACAACGTGAAAGTAAGAAACACTGTGACTGTGAAACTCTCTGCAACAGTGAAACATGCAAGTGAGTAAAAATGTGAATGTGGTGCACAATGAGGGAGCAAACAACATTATGAGCGTGGAGCACATTATGATCATGGAATCCATTGTGAGCGTGGAACACACTATGAGGTCGGAGAACAGAGAACGGAGAACAGCCTGCTAAACTCACTATAAAAGTAATGAGTTGCCGCAGCGAACAAGTGGACATACCTTGGCGTGGCAGGAGCAGAGCCAGCGGTTGGCCTCGAACACGACGAGCGTCACCTCGTCCTCTATCTTGAGCAGCTTGCTGGCGCTGTCGACGCAGCGCGCGTACTGGCGCGCCTCGCTGGCTTGCTCGCACGTCGACACCAGCTTGTCCACCTGCCGCACCTTCTTGTAGAACGGGAAGCACTTCTTGTGCTCCGGGTCCAGCTTCAGGCACTCCCTGATCTCCTGCAATTGTACATTTATATTAACTATACTAAAATAATTAAAAGTAAACATACATGTTTTTGAATAACACTATCTTTAATAAAAAGCTTTACACTTATAAGACGCTTCACACTATATTTCCATGCTATTAAATTTAAGGGGAAAATAATTTGGAAAACCTTCAAGTGGGAAAGGTACCATAAACTACAAGCTGACATTAAGAAAGTAAGGTTGCCATGGTAACGATTGTTATCCAATGTTAAAGTTGTCATTTTTTCATTTGAATTTTGACATTTTCAATTGATAATTTCGGAAATCTAAACAATGAAATAAAGTTTTTTATAATTTTATGCGAATGAAGCTGCACGGGATCAGCTTGTTACCTAAAAATTAATTTCCAACATCCAGAATTAAGAAGACTTGTGATTTAAGAGTATGAAGAAAGTGTCACCTTGAGTGCATCGCTGACGTGTCCGAGCTGGTAGAGCAGCGTGGCGAGGCGGTAGTAGCCGTCCGTGCTGTCCTGCTGCAGACGGTTCACTGACCGGATGTCTGACACCGCTGAGAACAGGTCGTTCTGCACACACACACACATTAAATAAATAAATGATACAGCAACTGTAACAGAACATAGAACAAGAATAAGTCATCACTTATCTCTACTTAAATTATTATTTATAGGAATTGGTTAAAATCTTCCCCTTTCCTCTTCCAACAAAACTTTTCAACCTTAAAAATGTTACTATACCATACCAATTAATCTATTAACAATTGGAAACAGTATTCTCACCATTGCAATGTAGCACTCAGCGCGCAGCTGCCTGAGCTGCGCGGCCCAGGGCGAAGTCTCCAGCAGGCTGGTGGCGAGGTCGGCGGCCGCGCGCTGGTCTCCGCCGCGGTAGTAGGCCTCCGCCAGCCGCAGCTCCTCCGCCAGCCCGTCCATGGCGTGGTACTGACTCACCGCATCCTCGTTGTACGGCTCACTATATGTCTGGTGGTACATTGTACTCATTACCCATACATCAAATTTAATCAACTTTTGTATATGTACTGTATAATTATTTAAAATTTCCTCTAAATTACAATATTCTACAAATGAAAATGTTACTTTTAGGTGTGAAATGTTTAAATTACTAATATAAAATATAGTATAGATGCATGAATGTTTGTTAGAAAGTACATCCAAAACTGCTGTACATATCTTGATGAAATTTGTAGATGTAGAGGATAGTCTGGAAGAATACATAGGTTACTTACTTTGTTTTTTAATTTCATGCAGGCATAGCTGTGGGAGAGTGCTAGTATTTTCAAAAAATAAATCTCCATACTTACAACTTGTAAATAATCTTCCTTAGCATCATAATACTTTGCTAACTTAACATATACATTAGCTCTGTGCAGGCGAGCCGCTGTGAAGTCTGGCTTCAGCTCCAACACCTACAACATATAACACCAATTACCATCTAAAATAAATTAAGTTGCTTATGTATTTCTTGAATTTTGAAGAATTAAACATACCTTAGTAAAGTCTTGTAGAGCAAATTTAGCTTTACCCAATGCATAATAAACTGTGCCCCTTTTAAAATATGTGAGGTAGTTGTTTGGGTCCCCCTCTGTAATATAAACACATACAAATTAAATATAATCATACTAAAATGTATATTGCATCATATCTCACAGTTTGCGGTCAGTAAAGTTTTGATAAGATAATAAAACTACAACAAAAAATGTTACAGATATGGGGAATACAATGTTACATTCAACATAGTTATGTATGGAATAATTATTTCATGTATGTTACATTAGATAAGAGATCTAATATATCTCTGATGAAGTACAAAATAATAATATTGAAAGGAAATACTTCAAAAAATGACCGCGAATATAAATAAACTGGTACATAGAGCGATGTTTTTGTAAATATAGATACAGATTTAACCTTGAACTGTTAAATGGTTAATAATTGATTGCAAGATATTGAGGAGTGCATTGGTAATGTGACATACTGACCGACAGCCGCATGATAGTGTGTTAGAGCGTCCGAGAGCTGACCACGAGCCAAGAAATCTCTCCCCAGCTCCAGGTGCTTATTCACTTCAGCTTGCGAAGCACATTCTGAAACTTCATCATGAAAACATTTCAAAACACCTCCCACACATTTCAAAATAACATATTGTCCGTAAAAATAAAACCAAACTTACAATCTAAAACTACTTCTAACACTAATAAAACAAGGCAAGGAGTGATTTTGTTCCAGTTTACATTTAATAAGTAGTCCATTATAATTTAATTATAGCACTGCTTATATCACAAATTAAAGCAAATCAGTTCCAATATAAACTAATAAACTAATTATTTGACAGAGCTACGATCCATCTTTCCTTCGTCTCTTTTCGTGGTCTGTTCTGATTGGTCCAAATCAGATCATCCTTGTATTCTCAAAGACAGATGCGTTTTAAAATTATAAGTAGGTGAAGTCGATTTTAAATGTCTTTTAGCCAAGAAGAGAAAATTCACAAAATATATTTATTTGAGTTTTCTTTTCTAGTGTAAAACGTTAACTTTAACTTTTTTTATAGAAACGAGGAAGCAGATTTTGATTATTTTACTGTTCCAGTAATTGCCAGTGATATTTTGCAGAACAGATAAAAAATTAAACAAAAATAAACTACTAAAGTGGTTATTAGACACTTAAAATGAAATATCATATCTAAGAAGTTATTCGTCTAAGGCGTCTCTTAAAATTGCTTGAATGAAATATAGCTAATAAATTATTAGCTAAAGATATTTGATGTGTATTGTTGGATAGGAGTTTGGAAATAAAATAGATTAATATGTTTTCAAACGCTAGTTTTGGCTATTTACTTTTTAAAGTGGTTAATGTAATATCTAATATTAAAAGGACAATTACATTGTTGTAACAGTTGCTTGTTTTATAAAAATTAAATTGGAAGTTTTTTAGAGACGTCATTTTTTTTGACAGTTATTTGGTAGAGTTGCAGTTTCTTACATCTGGCAACATCGCCTTTCTTTCACTTCAACAAATAAAAAAGTGTCGGGTTAGTGTTTAAAATTTGTGATATTATTACAATTATTTCTATGTTATTAACAAAAATAAAGGCCTAAAGATAAAGTGGTTGTATAATTAAATCACGTGGAATATAAAATTATGTTGGATAGGCCGTTTTGAAGTCGATTATTTCAGATTAACATAGTCCTCAGATGTCAACATAACCTAGTTATTCCCAACTTAGAGGTTAACTTTACGATTTTTAGGAATGTCTGACGCACCGTCGACAGCGCCTAAGGCGAAAGCGCCTAAAACAAAGGCTCCTAAGGAGAAGGCCGCCAAGGCTGCTCCTGCGGCACCAGCAGAGCCCGCCAAGGTGATCCGTAAAGTAAACTCCAAACCCCGTCATGGCAGACTTTACGCTAAAGCTGTCTTCACAGGATACAAACGTGGTCTTCGTAATCAACATGAAAACACAGCTCTTTTGAAGGTGAGTGTATGAAATTGCTATAGTTTGTGTTTTATGTGCAGTTAGTAAATACATTTTTTACTGTTTTTGAATGGTGTGATTCCGCTTAACAATGTTTGTTAAGTTAGTGAATGGAACAAGTTTATAGTGCTCTAAATATTTTTGTACTTTTAGACAATTACTTTAATTAATATTTGATTACGGTCTTATTTTATAATGATTCTACAAAAGCGACATGTATATGTTTAATGAATATATTTTTAATTGACATGATGCCTATGACATTTGAAACCTGAAACAACAATGTGGTCAAATTTTCAACTGATCTAAAAAACTATTTATTATGTAAACAATGTTAGTTTATGTGCATTATATGGTTGTTTTCAATTTCAGGTGGAAGGTTCTCGCAGCAGAGATGATGCCATCTTCTACGCTGGCAAGAAGTGTGTGTTTGTATATAGGTGAGTTTACCTGTTTATTGAGTTTAACACAATTACCTGTAATTGTTACATTACTATGGTACCTATGCTGTAATGATAAATTACTTTAAAGCACGAAAATATGATGACCCTTCATACAGTAGTGCAGAAACAGGCACATTTGATGTAAGGTGTCATACTAAATGGTGTTATTCCAACTAGTTTACAATTTTTTTTTAAAATCACCACTTTTTAAAGTACCCCCTTGCCGTATAACATTCTCACTGTTGACAGCTCCAGTCAATGCAATGTCCATCTATCAGTTTGAATCAATGACGTTTTATTTAATTTGAGTTCCAATTTATGTTGATCATTTATACTATTGGCTTACTGAGTGATTGAATAAAATGTAGGGCTAAGAAGCGCACAGCGATCGCGGGCGGTCCCCGCGGCCAGAAGACGAAGCTGCGCGCCATCTGGGGCAAGGTGACGCGGCCGCACGGCAACGCGGGCGGCGTGCGCGCGCGCTTCAAGTCCAACCTGCCCGCACACGCCATGGGCCACAGGATACGAGTGGTCAGTGCGCCTTCCTACCTTACTTATATAGCTAAAGTTTAAATGACACATTAGTTAGCAGCGTGTATGCAGCTGTCATATCATTTTACTAATAATGTATAAGGATATGACTGAATTGAGAGAAAAGATATCGGTTGTACATCCTTACTAGCTTACTACTCAACTTTGGATGGAACTAAAAAAATAAATCGAAACTATTTAGCCTATGTGTTCTTGCAAACAACCATTTACATGTATGCCGAATTTTATATAGATCCATTTAGCTGTTCAGGCTACAAACATCCAGCCATCCATCTAAGCTTTTGCATTTATATTGGTAAAATGCCACCTGGTGAAGCCAGGGCGGGTTTCTAGTAATATTAATGTAAAAAGATTGTGTGTTTGGATGGATGTTTTTGAAGGAATCTAAACGGCTAAATAGATCTTGATGAAATTTGTTACAAATGTAGAGCACAGTTTGGAAGAACAAAGTTTCTAATAATGTAAAAAAAAGTATCGGGTTTACATTGTAAACTTGACATGTTTTTCTTATTTATACATGATTTTAATTGTTATTGTAACATGCTACATATAAAATATTTCCATATGATGGCAAGACATTTGAAACCTGAATTAATTTCTGTGGATCAATAATTGACTGATTTAAAACTGTCATTAAATAATTGTCTAATTGTCATACTGTTTTTTAACATGCAATTTTTCTTTTATTTCAGATGTTGTATCCATCAAGAATCTAAGAGATCACCCGTTTATTATTAAGCCTTAAAATAAAAATACGCAAAAAAAACAACATTTTGTTTCACTTATTCCTTAAAAAACAAGCTAGTCAGGATTATTCCCAACCGTCACACCGCTCTGTCCCCCACGTGAGAATACAGTTTCATCCATCCCACCTCTTACGCTATCACCAGTAAGGTGACAGATAGGACCGTTATGAAATAAAAAAGTTCCAATCATCCTCGTCGCAAAAGGTGGGACGGATGAAACATTTTCTTATCTGTTCCTATGTGGGGACAGAGCAGAGTGACGGTTGGGAATAATTCGCTAGTCAAAGGAACATAATTAATTGACAATGGCTCATTAAATTTTATTGAAATCGTAGATAAAAACAGTCCTGTTAATAAGGGTTAATTGTAGACAAACCACGAAATTATATAAAACTGAATATAGAGTCCTAAGTCACATTACAAAAACATTAGCTCTGCTTTGACTATATAGTATTTCATTTAGTTTTATCTAGTGATTTTATAAATTAGTTCAATATGGAACTCGGTTGATAGTTGTTTTAATCTTCCCAAGTACGTGTCTGAAAAATATTAGTATTTATGGAAACACTAGTTCCGAGTATATCCAGTACCTCATGTCAGTAACACAAGCTAACCACAAAGTATTTCCTATCGTGATGTGTCTAACTTTAGCTAGGTTATTTTCATCCCACATTTTCATTACTTTAGCTATGAATTAATGACATTTGTAGATATGTATTTAGTTGCCGTTGCAATAATTTAAAAACCCAATCGACCACAATCATAATTAAAGTAATAGCGTAAGATACAAAGGTCTTCATCTAATTTCCTGATAAAACCATTATTTTATTAAATTTTACAGTTTTAAAACATGTAACATGTTACCAAACCCTATCCTGGCATGTCTGGTTAATTTACAGAGACAAAAACCCCTAGTTTCCTAATGAAATTAGTGCCTATAGATTTGTAGCAGCTAAAGATTCTTTATCATTCTTATATGATCATTGCAGAGAGTAATTTATGAACGCATCAAATTATCAAAGTAGATTTTACTAGAACGTGAGGTAACTATAGGCCATTATGAATGAAATGTAATCGACGGTAACGAAGGTGCATATTATGGTTATCAGGTATCTCAGAGGAACATGACAATATGATTACAGATTACATAAGGTGAGCTATGAATAGAGATGCCTGATTATCATAATTAGTTGGTAATTACGTGCACAGAGACTTCCTTCCGTCAACATTTCCGCTTTTCTGTATGGTTAATTTATAACTACTGGACATTGTATGGTATGTCACTATAAGGTCGCGCGCACACCGTTGACTAAACTATCGCACAACTGTTTACTCTCGCTGTGATTCCTATGAGCTTATGAGGTGCGAACACTATTCGATTTTTAGTTGTTTAACTAAAAACTTAAATTGGTTGCGAAATAACAACTGACAACAGCACAACAGTTGTGCGATAGTCTAGTCAAAGACTTGCACCCGCTCTATTTGTTGAATTTTCATTTAATTTTTAAACATGTAAATAGAAACGAGAGAGAATTAAACTTTAAAAGTAATTTATCTATTCTATTAACACGATTTTAGATTTTTTGCTATATAAGCAAATTAACATACAATGAAACTAAAATATATTATGGAATTATGAAAAATAGGCAGTACACGATGCATGCGACGTGACATGCGCACGCGCGGCGTCATGCGCGCTACCGCACTGACGCACTGCAATGAATATGAAATTAAAAAGGTACAAATTAAACAATCAAAAAAGGTTAATTTAAATAACATCTAAACTCACGTATATTTATCTACTACTTTCATCCATCTGTGGCGAGTGACGTGTCGAATGTGTTACAAAACTATAATACACAAACAATGAATCAGACATAAGGCATTAAAGATTTAATTTGCATAGGGATCACCTTAAACAATACAATACGTGTGCAGGCTTTAACGTAGGTCTGTCTTCTGTTTGCTCCTGTATAAAAGGGAATTACTTCCGCAAAGGAGATAGTGATCTCTGATTATCTCGCTGTTTACTCTGAATCACAGAGTTGCGCGACATGCTCCTAACTTTATCTTACAACCAGTGACAGAAGCGCTTTATCTTCACACGAATGGATCGGCTTCGTACAGAAGACATACATGAAGTGGAAGCAATTCCGCGTATTGTCTAAAGAATGTGTGTGCTGGAGCCCTAGTTTTAAACCGTTTTTCTTATAATGAAAGAATAGGAAGGGAACGGTGGCGGAGACGAAAGAAAAGAGGGAAGTATCCTTTTTATA